TTCGAGATAGCCTCAGAAATAAAGCGAAAGGCGAACGAAGGAATTGACGATTAAAATTAGGAATGTCAGATAGATTTGAAGGACAGATACATGATACGCTTTCATTATAAAGATTTGGTTTAGGACTCGGAGATGTAGTTAAAATTATACTTGACGATAATTCAGTCCATCAATTTATTTTCGTGGAATGTACACAAATATATTCCCTATCTAAAATGCATACAACTTGTTCTCGAGGAAACTTTTTACAAATATATTATATATGCTTGCATTTTAACATGATCTTTAAATTTTCTTACAAAATGATTCAGATATAATGTAAAATTAATAAGAATGAGATGATGAAGAAGAAGCGTAAACACTCACTACTTCGTAGCGTGTGTTTACGCTTTATTATAGGATATTGTAGGATGTCAGCAATCAAAGCATATTTTTGACTAATTCTTTCTTTAATAAAAAACCCCTATACTTACGACAGGCGTTAGTCTATATCTATATTATTTCGCGCTATTAAACTTACGAGGGTAAATAAATTGAAAAAAAAAACCTATCATGTGGGAAAGAGACCATAAACTACAAGCAGCCAACATTAAGGAAGCAAGATGGTAATGGTAATTTTGACATTTGAAATTGAGAATTTGACAAATGTAAACAATATTTTATTTTTATAATTTCATGCGGATAAAGCCGCACGGGAATAACTAATACTAACAATATTTACCTACTAATATTAACCAATACTATAACAAAACAAGTTCCTTTATTATAACGTTTGTAAAGAATTTCACTTTCACTGGCGTCAGACTGTCTGTTGATGTTCTTTTTATCGACTGCATATTAAAAGTGAATCAGCATTTGTAGGTCACGTACGTTTTGAAGGCTTGTGTGTTCATTGATTGATTTCGATAGACGGTGTATACATTGTGTAGTTGTTTGTTTTTAAATTCCCTTTAATTAGTATTTAAATAATCAAAAGTAAGTTAATAACGTTTATTATAAGACCTTAATGAAGTTTGAAATACGATGACACGATTAATTTAATATGAAACGATGTTATATTGATTGAAAATAGTCAAAGAATACGGCTTTATTTAACACTAATCATGAAGTTATATTTCAACTTGTCTTTTTTTGGAAATCTAAATTTTTATTTAATCAATTTTCGTTATATCATTATGTCCCATTCTTTATAACGTACAGATAATGAAACAGAAAGAGATAGCTATATTAAATCTATACTAACATAATAAATTGTTAACACTCACTACTTCGTGGCGTAGGATGTCAGCAATCACAGCATATTTTCGAATAATTATTTCTTTAATAAAAAGCCCTACACTTACGACATGTTTTAGGCTATTTATTTTCACACTATTAAACTTAGAAGGTAAATAAATTGGAAACAACTATCATGTGGGAAAGGACCATAAACTACTAGCTGCCAACATTAAGGAAGCAAAAATATTAAGGTTACGGTAATTTTGATAGTTGCAATGGAGAATTTGACAAATGTAAACAATAAAATAATGTTTTTTTTAATAATTTCATGGGAATGAAGCCGCACGGGAACAGCTGGTATAAATATTAATAAGATAATAAATATATATGACATATTTAATTATATTATTTATGGTTGATGACACAAATTGTCAACTGTGAGAGCCACATTTGATATTGCCGCCATAGTACATCGGGCCCGCCTTTCCCGCTCCGCCAATGCGCGAGCGCAAGCACTTGCAACTAATGATATGCAAAATTGCGCCCCGAAGCATCGCCGCCCAACCGCTAAATTATACCTCGGTTCGCACAGATTATGTATCAATAAATGTAGAGATTTCATACCTTCTTATATACAAAATCTTGTGAATATAATCATGTATTTTGTTTATGTACATGATAGTATATGTTATTTTTTGAATATGTAATAAAGTAATTTATGCAAAATAAAACCATTCCTACAGGTCATATTTATCAACATAATTTGTTTTGATACTTTTTCAAGGAAACGTTGTTGTTTGTTTAATTTAATTCTCAAGTTTTTATCAGTGCGTAAAACGGGATGACTTATAACCTAAACGGTCTTTAAGATTTTAAATTATGAGGTAACTCAGTACATGTTCTTGCCCAAGAGTTATAGAGGGAAGACGGTACTATATTTAGTTTAATTCGGTTTTTGTTAACAATATAATGCGTTGTCAATAAAGTGGTGATTTGACCACCCAAGATACACTCAAGAGTAATTTGGTGACACTTATAAGGTGGTTTACGTAGGCATATGCTCAATACTGATTCCATCATTACCTCATTTCCCTCTTATGTCCCTCTCAACCCTCCCAGCGGCGATCGTAATTTGCTATGTAATTTTGTCCACGAACCACTTAATGATATGTATCGAGAGTTGGAATGTCATTTTGTAAATTATACAGGCGTATTACAAGTCCGTGTTATAATTGGTTGGATCACGCAGCGTGAGGAATGTCGGGTCGACTTGTCCTCGTCGTTAGGATTTGTGTGATTCGATTCCTCGTCCTGTTTGAACTTCATCAACCCTCTATCTTTATTCCTCTCTAAGTAAGAACTCAATAGATTTCATCCTCCCGATGGGCCTGTCATTATTTTCTTCCTCTTCCAAAAACTAAACGTTTGAAGATACAAAGCTCTTGAAGTCAAAGTCGCGTGAAGTCAAATGAAAAGGCGCTATGACATCTTGCAAATTTGTATCATAATAACCCAATGTTAACGGAACTAACATAATTCAAACGACAATAACGTTCAACCCTGAAAATTCTATTAAGGGAAATGAAGCAATGTTTTACAACATACATCTACTATTTAAAATTTACACCATCAAAGCCTTGCTGACGTATTTGTGATACTGATTTACAAGTTCTATCAAACAATAGATGCATGGAAAAATTTCATTGTTTTGTATTTCCGTAGGCTGAAAAATATTAATTATTACTTAATATTTTTTATTGATGACGAAGTGATTGTTAAAGGTATTGAGGTAATACGAGTATATTTAAGTATAGTTTTAATTGGATATACCTAATCAAAATTCTGCACAACACGCATATTTGTTTAAAACAAAATAATACTGTGAACTGCCATCTAGCGACAAGTGGCAAAAGAAAAATTTAAATAGTTTAAATTAAAGGTTTTACAATAAAGACTTGACTACTTTATATGTGATAAACAAAAACAAATTATAATTGTCGGTAATTTACTGTTTTTCAGATTTTTCCTCGTTACAGTGGAAGAGACGCAGTTCCAAATAACGCCACTAGATGGCGCTATAATTAAAAATAAATAAACAAATAAACCGCTCACTAAATAAATAAAGCACAAAGTATACCAATTATCAATTCTAGTTTTATAGGTCATATTCACATTCGCATTTATAATATTAATAAGATTGTTTTTTCCAATAGATTTCATAAAATAATGGCGATTTAAATTTTTTGAGATTCATTTGCTTACTTTGCAAACGTTGCGTTACCTCACAGTTGTTTTCATCCTGTAAATCACGACAATAGATGTATGTTTGCAAAAATTCTGTCATATCGACACCGAGAGTAAGAAATAAGGTAAAAGTATTACAAACAAAATGCAAGCGATGAGATAACAAAGCTATAGATACTCTTTTTGTGCATTTTTACTTTTGAATTTGTAAGAAAATATAATTTTATGACAAGACGCACTGGGCCTGCTCGCTTTGCTGGACAAATGGGCCTGCTCGTCCGGTGTTATACAATAACCAGAAACAAAGTAGACGTAAAGTGGTAGTAATTCCGGTTTCCGCCTAATGAGTATGCATGCCCGAGATCTAATTGTAGTTCTTCTTCTTTTTCCCACCATTTTCTTAAAGAAAAGAATTGAAAGGGAAAGCAAATCAGCTTTCCTTGTCAATTGCAGAAGTAATGGGCAACAGACGCTTCGCTATTCCAGCGAATAATGGCTACTTGCTGATTTATCACGTTTTGATAAAAAAAAAAACATTCATCATCTCCTGCCTTATCCTACTCCCGTAGGGTCGGCGCACCGGGTTTTCGTCCTCCAAAGCACTCTATCATCCGTCATCTCAGTCATCACTCCCTTCTTGATCACGTCACCTTTCACGCAATCCATCCATCTCTTTCTAGGTCTACCTCTACCGATGTACCTCCACATTCATTAAAAAAAAAATATTATTATAATTAAACAAATATAGGTTTATTGTCTTATTAACGTTGCCAGTTAATCCAAACTAGGTTCCTAAATCACACAAGTTTTCTATGCTAGTTGAATTAAAAGAGCAGAGTGAATTTTAAATTAAAAGTCTCGGTAATACATGTCAGCTTCGCTCAAAGTGACCTACTTCCAAACATCTGTCTACAGTATGCAACTGAAAATTCCTGACATCACAGGAAATTGTATTTGTTTCATTTACTTGTATACGAATTTTCAAACGTAGAGAACAAAGAAATGTTACAACAAAATTTGTCATATATTATATATTCTAAACGTTATTGCTGGCAAGTACCTTGTAACTAAATAAATTAATTGTACATAGCTAAGAATAACCAAAACTGATTTTTATTTTTACGGTGGCGGGACAGACTAGTTTCACATCCGTCGGGGGCCCATCTATACTTTTTAAATATTGATAAAAAGTTGATTTTTTATACGACTTGCTTATTTTGTATTTTTTCGTTACCATGAGTTTTCACTACCAAAACACTTGGTAAAAATATTTCAAATCTATATTAATTTTGAAAAATAGCAGTAAGTTTTCGTACAAGTAGTTCCCTACTTCATTATTTAGAAAAGTAATTTTAAATAAACTAGCATTTGAAATAGTTACTAATATTTGCTTATACTCAGTTTATTCTTAATTTTAACTTTATACCGCGTTTATTTATAAGGCTGTTAAGATCTGTTTGCGTCAGATATTATTCATATTGTTTTTTAAAACAAAGCACTTTTAAGTAAGTTTTATACAATAAACACTGATATATTACCTTCAGTTTATACGTAGGTCGTCAGCGTTCCCATCTTGTCACGAGCGAATTCAATTTGTCAAAGAAAATTAGTTTCACGTCGGTGCAATGATACGTTTCCAAGAACGCTTCGAAAGCACCTGCAAATACAACGAAATAGTTTGTATTGTTATTTCTTAATAATATAGATGAATTTTAAAAATATAATGATGAGGGATACTGTAATATGCGACAAAGAAACTAAAATATTTTAAAAACACCACCAAAGAAAAAAACAATTACATAAACGTTGTTTGCACCTTATTCTGAAAACACTTAACGGTTAGTAAAATATTGCTCGGACCTTTCACTGAATAACAATTCGCTGGAACTTATCCAATATTTAGGAGGTATGCACATGATAGTGCAGTATTACAAATTTTAAATATACTTTGTAATAACATGAACCTTTAATTGTTATCATTTATTATCTGATATAAATGGAATCATTAATTTCGCAGTTTCATTTAATTAACTCCATATAGAAATTGTACTACTACGCTTGCATTGTACTAATACAAGTTATAATAAATCGTAACATAAATGTTAAAGTTTAAATATTTGTAAATAGATGGCGCTGTACCTAATCGATTTTCTAGCCTAACCATGGTTGGTTTCAGCTTGGCGGGCGCCCTGGGCAAATTGTATTTCGCATGTACCGACACTTTATGTCTAACGCCCTGGGCGTTCTACCGCCTAACGAATGTACTAATTCTGAGAATCAATATGATTCAAATAATTGTTAACTTTATAATTTATTTTTAAAAATTGTATTTTAACAATTTCACCTATTACGAAAACATCAAACAAATAACAAGCGAATATTAGCGAGTCTAAACTAAATATTCATAAACAAATACCTTTATAAACAAAACCTACATTAATTTTATCGTTTTATTAACACTAACAAGATAACATTTTGTTAAAATAATTCTCGTGCTTCTATACATTGTTTCATAATTATTCTATTAAGTTGCTTGACTCCTCTCCGGTGGCCACTTTCCATAAACAAAATCCCTTAATTTGCATACGAACTGTGAAGGTCAAAGTCCATGTATTATATGAAAAGTTCATTTGCACAGTGTATTTTGCACCAGTTAGTTATTTGTTAAATTAACTAGCTTAGAGGCTAATGATGTTTAGACTTGAATATAATTTATTGTTAGTGAACATCAGTTGCTCAGTACGTTTTAGTAACGTAAACAATAGAAAAATAAAACTAAAAGCTGTTCTTTGTTGATTTATAAATAGGAATTGGCTTTCATTATTTGCTTACTGCTACTTACTAGCTTTAGTCTGCGACTCCGTTACCGCGAATTTTTAATAAAAAATCTTGTTAGGTTAGGTTTTCTTCCAGATTGTTCTACACCTCGGACAGATATCAGCGAACTCCCGTTTTTTTAACACGTAGTTTAAGACACTAATATAATTGTAATAACGTAATGAACTTCTACCCCTTCACTGTTGATTCCCGCCAGAATGGCGCGCCAATCATACTTCTGAATGACATTGACAGTTGTCATAGGGATGAACGTATATGGCAAAGATCTAGTGTTGCGCCGATTTCTTTTTAACAGTAGTAACAAATCCATCCATCCATCCATCTAAATTTATAATTAGTATAATTGTATGATGGGATTAGTTTTATTAGTTCTAGGATAAAAATATTGAATTCAAGCATTTTATAATCAACAAGCTAACCAATTTTGGTAACTGTTATGAAGATAAATTCCAATATTATCTTTGTTATTCCAGTATTTCTATTTGTTAGCGACATCTTGTATCTAAAAGCGACAATAACTATATCGATGCAAATTAAATAGCATTGAAATCTTATTCTGAACGTGACAATTTTTATGCCATTATAATAAAAGTACGCAGTCGGGTTTACCCACAAAATAATGAAAGTCAGAATAAAACGATCATGTTTTTGTTCTATGTATCAGAGATTATTCTAGTGTTACCATACTACAGTAATTGACTTAACTAAACTTATGTATTTATTCTACGAAAATTAAATCGTAACATTACATAAGAGTACTCACATCTCAAAAAGGTCGACAAACGCATCTGTAGTTAATTTGTAGGTTATCTGTAATTAAATGTGATCCCGCCAATGCTCCATTTGCGATTTACGATTCTATCGATTACGCCTTTATGTTATTATAAATGTGAATTAAAAGATAGTAATTATTTTATGGAGGTTAATATAATTACTTGATCTATTTTCGATTATTTCTTAGACGATTTTTTTTACACGTTACAAATTATTGAAAAAAACATTCGAATTAAGTTTTGTTGGCATCTTCATAATCTTTTAAAAACTGAAACGGTAAGATTTATATTACCATAGCGACAGTGCAAACGAACGAGAAGTACCAGTTTGAGCAACACCTTTCTCGCCATAAGCCTGTTGCATACGCTTCCCTCGCGTATCGCATATCTGAAATTTAAATGTTCTGTTTATGATAATAGTAACGCTGTTATTGTTACTTTTTATGATATAATTCTCCCGAGCGTGAAAAAAGAAATGTAATTTTTACAATTGTGCAACACGTTAAAATTGTCTTGTAAAAGGCAGCGAAGTGGACACGTTAATTAACGAGCAAAGAGTAAGTTTCCATAAACAAAATTTACAATAGTACAGATTAAAAAATGCAGATAAAAAAGTATTTGTACAGAATATAAAAAAAAATACAAATCGACAATTAAAAACATCAGTTGTAGAAATAATTTGATTAAAAGTACTACAAATGATTGGTGCATGAATTAATTCTGTTTCATGACTATGATGCCTGTCTTTTCGCTTTAAATGGATTTCTACTGTATATTTAGATATATGATAAATGTTTTTAGAGAGGGCGCCACCGCTCTAACGTAAACACTGTCTCCACGTAAATAACGTATTAAAAATTAGTAAAGTTAGTCAAATAGTGAAAACATTGTGTAATAGTGTTAAAAAAACGAAATAGTGCAGCACAAATAAAAAGTGTAAAATATTTTTAAGGAAGAATGATTAAAATGTGAAAATACAGTGATGCAACTAAGTGTAACTTTCTAAGTGAAATTAATGTTTTTATCTTTTATAAAACTTTGAAATGCTCAATATTTGTCAATAAAAAACAGTGATATTACGGTTTCCAAGCAATATAAGTGAAGTGGTGATATGTTATATTAATAGTGCAGTTTTGAACAATTTGCATAGTCATTCCCACCGTCGAATATTTAAAAAAGCGCCATCTATCACAATTTAGCAAAACTACGTGGATCAACAAATAAATCGAACGAACGTTAAGAGTAGACAGTTTATAAATTCTGTCAACAGAGGGCGTATAAGAAAGAAAAATGGAAGAAATTAAAAATATGCTACGTTCATTACAGGAAGATATAAAACAACAAAAAGAGGAAATGCTTAAAATAAAAGAAGACATTAAATGTACTATAAATAGCAATATAAACGAAAAATTCAAAATATTGGAAACAAAAAATCAAAAAATTGAAACAAAACTGGAAAATCAAAAAATAAAAATAGATAATTTTGAAAAGCTTTCTAGAAGAAAAAATATAGTAATATTTGGAATCGAAGAAGATGAAAAAAACTACCAAGAATTAGAAGAAAAAGTTTCAAATTTTTTTAATGATACGTTAGACATTAGTTACGAAAAAAATTGTATAGAAGCAGTGAGAAGAATAGGTAGAAAAAGTGAAAAATCTAGGCCAATCTTAGTATCACTATTAACCATCGGACTCAAAATAAAAATAATGCAATCTAAAAGGAAACTAATCGGCACTCCGTTCTACATAAAAGAGGACTACCCCAAGGAAGTATTAGAGAAGCGCAGGGAACTTCACACAGAATTAACGAAAGCAAGAGACCAAGGAGTAAATGCTATTTTAAAATATGATAAGATCATAATACTCAATGACAAACAGAAAGATCCACAAAATACAAACAAAAAAAGAAACTTATCGGAATCGCCAGAAAACAATATTCACTTGACTTCACCGGAGAAACAAAAACAAAAACAACCTGCAAAAATAAACAAAACAAGCAAAATGGACCACTTCCTCTTGAAAAAAAATAACATCTACACCTCCGCAATCTCATTGCTCAAAATACACCACACAGTAGCAACCATGGCCCTCCTCTCACGATCTCCCAAGCC